CTTAGTTTTCAAACTTCAATTGTTCATAACTTTTTTATTAACAACGAGCGACGGCTAAAATTTACGGATTGTTACTCAGGAAGGTGTCCTTGACAACATATGTCAAGCTCATTGAAATCGGAGGGGGGTGACCTTTTCTGTACATTTACCGTAGTATTATATGCACAATAATATTTTGTTTTTTGTGTGAGTTTCAGTATTTTACAAACTACATAAAGAATAATTACGTTCTTTTTTTACATTTCTTACGAGTTATTGTATTAGCTATTTTTTCACGTAGGTTTTCACTGTATACAAAATTTTATTTTTACACATTTAAAAATAAAATAACAAATGTAAAGTGTCAAGTACTTAACAGCACTAGTTTGTCAACGACAAGTACATGACAAATGAGTTACTTTCCTACTCTCTCAAGTAGAATCAGTATATTGAACTGACGATTAGAATATCTACTGATTAGATATATGTAAGTTTCCCACCACGAGAATCAGTATTTTACTACGTCATTTAATTAAAGCGCTTTTATAGTGCGAATCAGTATTAGTCAAGCACTGGATCAATCTGTAAATATAAAAATAATTTATAACATAAAAAAATTGTTTTATAATTAGTTTATAGTTTCATACTTTATGTCTTCGAGTAAGTTCTCTTGTGGTTATTATTAATATTAATTTGTAGAAAAAAAATCTTTGCGTCAGGAATCAACTTGACTGAACTCGAACCTGGAAATCTTCTGATTATCAAGCGGACACTCTATCACTTCAGCCATTGAAACTTTTGACGTCAATTATTTTTAAAATTAATAAATTAATGCCATCCAGTGATGTTACTGATTCTCAGTGAAATTATTTGTCATTAAATCAATCAGCGAAATTTTAACTGATTCCCAGTAAGAAAACTAATCTGTCACTGACACCTAATCTTAAAAGAGACATTCTTTCACTGTGAATATGATATTATCACTGATTCCCAGTAAAATTTTTTGTCATTGAATCAGTTAGTGTAATTTTAATTGGTTTTACTTAAAAAAGCATTATTTATATATTGCTTTTTTACATAATGCTGTTCCAGAAGGTTCTCAAATTGAAATTAACATTTTCTTTTACTACGTACTCGTAAAAAAAAGTTATAATAATCCAATAGATATACTTTATTCTAGTATATCTATCATCATAAAATTTGATTTTATGTTAATAGGATTATTTATATTATATATAAAATTTATGATTTGAATAAAATCATTATTTCTGATGATTTTATCATCATAAATCTTTATTTATAACGTTAAAAAAAAACACATAAAATAATATTCATGCATATATCATTTTATATATTTATTAGCTACTTATGCATTGTTGTTATTTTTGTTAGTACATTTTCCAAATGTCAACCATATTACGTAACACTTCTAATACCAAATGCCTACTTCTAATAAATGCTACTCAGTTTGCTTTTATATACTTCATTCTGTATTTACATTAATAATAATGGAAACTCGAGAACCGACAATATTTTATTATTTAGTGCACACTTTACGTATCGTTTTACTTCCTCGGAAGTACAAACTGGACCACCACATTCTGCAACAGAAAACCAGAAAAAAGTGTATAAAATTATGTTGAAAACAGATACAACTAGTAAGATATATATTCAATAAGATATCACATTGATATATAATTTAAATAATAATAAATATTGAGAACAAAATTAAGCATTAAAAACAGATCACTACACAGTAAAAACTTTCTACAAAAAACATAGATTTTCTCAAAATAGGTAAAAGTATGTAGTAAAATCTATATAGATGTATTGATTACCTAAATCAGTGCAATACTTGGTGATCTTTTGACATCTTTGTACATTTGCAGCTCTAACAAAAACTTTTGAACAATATTGGGTTATGTCACTTCTAGTCATTTCATCTTCTTGACTGATCTAGAATTGTGTAATATAGTTAGTAACTTACTCTATACTTGTTCGAAAAGAATTAACAAAACAATGGTACAGAAAAACAAACTATTCAACATTTAGGTTTGTATATGTTAATTTATCGTGTGTGTGTATGTATTTTTTTACGTTTTATATAACGTTTATGTTGTGTTTTATTTGATTAGTATTTTATTCAGGCTGCTCTTGAAATTGTGATGAAGCAAGCTGAAATGTTCACGAAACGTCAATATAAAAATAACACTAATAAGTGGTCAAGCCTGAAAAACATCTTCAAATGTTAATACAACACACCGAGTAAACATGAAATATCAGATTAATATTTTATTCTCTTTAATTTTTATGTAAAGAAATATATAAATAAATATTTATGTATAAACTCATATATGTATAAGTAAAGAACGTACTGCACCATCTTTCTTCAATGCGCAGATGGAAGCATCGACCATGATATTGAATTTATTTTCTACAACATATAAAGACATTTATATAATATTTGAATAAATCGCAGCTAAAATAACTTTGATTGCTCTTTGTGTGTATTTATTGAAATTATCTTGAATTAATAAAAACTGCATTTTATATGCAAAATAAATTGAGTGCTATTAAGTGAACTGATCTTAGAATTGTTAACTTTCAGTCACATAATGTTCAATCATATACTGTTCAGCACTTACTCAAGATGTTTTGCCAGTTGCCAAAACTCTTATCGAAAACTGAAGTTTGGTTTAAAGTAATATTTTTGAAACAGGTTACCACGCTGTCATAATAAGCTGCAGGTCGCAACAAACTTGTACAAGTATGAATGGCCATCTAAAATTAATAAAATAATTGAACGCAAATGATGTAACCACGAAAAAAATAAAAGCATTATTATATTTGTTACGATGCAATACAATATTATACACGTAAGAATAAGTGCAGTCACATATTTTGCGCCAATTTTTTCAAACTAAGTAGATGTGATCAGATTTTGTCAGTCTTAAATGTGATTCATATGTGATCTGATCTGATCTGATCTGATCCGGAAAGACAATATGAGCAGTTTGTATATTACACATGTGTATAAATATAATATATTTACACTCATGTATATTTACACATATAAAATCATATTTGATCATATGTTTCTATGTTTTCTCTGTTAAATCTAGTATTTTTGTGGTTTTTTTTTATAAATTATGTTTAATTAAATATCTCTCTCTCTTTCTAAACTTTTATGAAAAAATTAATAAATTAACCTTAAAATATATCTAAAGTTATACTTTTTATTGACTTATAACAACGTAGGAATATCAAGTTAGTAAAGTAACGTCCACACGTATATAATGGAAGCAAGAAATGTGTAAGGATAAAGAAAAACTTTAAAGACAAAATAAATAGAAAATGTAAAGATAAAAAATGTACAAGCAAGTTGGTTTAGAACAAATTCAAGAATTATAATTTTTACAATGTTTTTATAGATTTGTATAAGACTCACCAAGACGCAAATCGTAAATAAGATAATCTTCATTTTGCTGCTTTTCGATTAATTTAATTCAACTGTTCGATGCAACAATTCGAGCAACACTATGTGGAACATGAAAATTTCGATGGCATTTATATGCAAAAACTGATGTGTGTTTTACTGATAATGATGTATGTACTGAAAAAAACAAATAATGTACAGTACTCTCTATAAGTTGGAAACACATTTTAAAAGTGTGCAAGATAAGATAAAACACACGTGGCAAAATTGATATATTTCAGTTTGTAAATATTTGTGTAATTGAAAAATATGAAATTAAGACACGTGCATACATACATGCGTACGTACAGTTAATACGCATTTTAGATCATACGTCACCGATTTTGTTGCGCTTTAGATATGTTGTAGGACAAATCATACCGAGTAATTATCTAAAACAATTTCGCGGGGTACGCCCTTGGTTTTGGAAATATGACAATTTGAAGTTTCAGAATTTTAATGCTCTATTTATTCTAGATATTATAAGCTGATATATTACGAACAATNAAGTCTGTGTATGTCGAACTGATGTGTTGAGAAATGTAAACAAAGCCAGAAGATANTTTAAATTGAATTATTTACAAGGTAATTTATAATTAGTCAAGAATCCGTTTCACTATTTCTCGCAATTTGNTAATGCCTTTCAACATGCGACTACATGAATTTCTAAATTTTGTTGANAACAGCAAGAAATTAATAGATTTTCTTGTTGATCGTAAAGTTATTCATGGACATATTAAATGTCCACGATATACAGCAGATGTGAATTTAAATCGCGAATATATGTTTTGTATGCATCTACCGGAACGTATGCAAGCGTTTTTTGATATTATGGCAAAACATTATCCGCTTTCAATATAAAAAAAAATAAAATATCTGTATATAAAAATAAAATATCTGCGTGTGTGTGTGTGTGTGTGTGTGTGTGTATTAGTCATTCTTTATTTTTTCTTATTTTTTTATTTCATAGGATCCTATTAAATGTCGCTTCATATCAAAAATATCTACGTGTTTTTTGAAGGAGAGAGCAGAAGGAAGGGCGAAGACACTTCCCTACAAGCGTACAACACGAACAAAAAGAACATAAAATAATAGTATTGTTCAGAAAAATTTTAAATTACCACATCTCCGAAACCACTTATATAAAATCTTATATGATCATATAAAATATCATATTCGACTTTTATATGTAATCCCATATGATCACACGTTTACCATTTTTTCTCGGGAAGTATGATCTGCTCTGTAAGATATCTAAAGCGCATCAAAATTAGTGAGATGTGACCTAAATTGCGTATTTATCTATAGGGGAGACCTTAGTTGTCTCACAAAATTAATTGTCAAACTGCTATTATCTTGCTCACTAAATCTTGGAAAATATTCTTCTTTACATTGTAAGGTGTTACTATTGTGTTAGTACAAAATAGCTTTTCTTAAAAACATGATATATGATATTCACGAGCACTTTTGTAAAACTAGGCATGGAAAGTAGATTTTTCTTATCTTGATTTTTTAGTAATTTCACTGATTTTTAAATTTTGAATTGCAATTTTATCTTAGGTATAAGAAATGTGGTACTTTTTTAAATACGTTTTTTCTATATTTCTTTAATTGTCATTGCATCGCAGTTTATAAATATAACATTTTGTATATTTAAAATGAACGTTTGGAGTAAGTTGACTCATTCTTGCTGGAAAAAATCTTCCAANGATGCGTCTCACTCGTGATTCGCTTTTTGCAGATTTCCTGTCTAACTCATCTCGTAGTAGTTCGATTGAGTTACAATCTGCGGACTAAAGCCATTTTATGATTTTTAAGATTTTCTTTTTCTTATTTTCGACGTATACAAACTTATAAGTTTTCTAATAAAAGTGTTAATTATTTTTCTAAATAAAAGTGTTAATCATTTTTGTCGTCTTATCAATGTAATCAAGCCAAAAACATGCACAAATCGTTGTCAATGCCGATTGTTTCCCTGTAAAACGTAGAATGTTTCCAAACTTATGGAGAGTACTGTACGTGGTACTGATAATGATGTATGAAATAAAACAAGATGATGTGTTATACTGATAAAACNGTAATTGCTGTTAAAACTAGACTTTTTATCTCGCTTTAAAGATTTGTGATCATATGTGACTAATTCGCGTGTAGTATGCTAGTATGCTTTAGTTCTCGGTGTGCCAAGTTCTTGTGCATTAAATATTTTTTATTCGAAAATAGTTCCGCNTGAGTTATCGACTTTTTACACAAAACGAAGTCGACGAATGTATAATTTCAATATAGATGCATTTTATCAAAAGAAACAGAGATCGTTGAGTTTGTGTAAAGGATTATTTTGTTTTATGTTTTTCTTATATAAAAAATATACGTAACATACATATGATTTTTCAGATGACATTAGTGTTTCATTATATCACTTCTGTTGTAGAACAAAATTTGAACAAACACCAATTTTGTAAAAATATATGTTAAAATTTCCCAGTAATATTATATGCACAATAAATTTTGCGCAACAGTTTTGTTTTTTGTATGCGTTTGAGTTTTTTTTACAAACTACATAAAAATTAGATACGTTTTTTTTTAAATGCATTTCTTACGAGTTATTGTAACTATTAATCCAAGAAGTTTCTACGTATTTTATGTATTTCATTTATTTTTACATTTTGTGTTATTTATTTTTACATTATACTTAAAAGCAATATACAACAAATGTAAATGTAAAGTGTCAATTACTTATTAGTTCTAGTTTGTCAATAACAAACACATGACGAATAAGTTATACTTTAATATTTTTAAATGTTTCAGGAAATCCACTTGAGTTAAAATTACTTCTATTTTTTACTGTGTAGTCAAAAAAAAAGTTATAGTATAACAATCCAAAAGATATACTTCATTTTGTTAATCATTAAAAATAATAACACAAATTCACATTTGAAATTATCTATATAGATAAGCAACTTTTATCCTAACATTATTTTGTAGAGTTTATATATTATACTAAGCGTACAGCTCGTAGATCAATTTTAATAATTAATTGTGAAGAGCAGTTGTATTGTCATTGACGCGTCAACACTTGACATCTATCAAATTTCTCACCGAATTAATTTCGAAACGCTCTGTACATGTGTGATAGTGAAAATATTCCATGCGTCAAAGCGCATTGAATATATGTTACGTTTATATGTTTCGACAAGCGTCGGCGAGAGTACAAAGGCACTCGTGCCATTGTTCACTTAAGTGGTTTGAATAAATCCCAATCACGCTAAATTTCCTCTGTCCTCAATCAAATTGATGAAACGAGACAAAAAGCCAAAACAAAACAAACTGATTCGTTTGCTCGAGTGATTGCTAATTACAGATACATAACGACTTTTTCGGAAACACATATATCTATGAAATAACAGAACCAATATGGAATTAAAAAAGAAAGTTAACCAACAATTTGCACTTCACTTGAAAAATTATGAAATATATGTACAAATGTATATATACAAAATATACATCATATATATACAAAAGCAGCATTATGCAAAATTAAAAATTTTGGCTAACGGTGTGAGCAGATAAAGCGAATCGACTACTTCGTCAAAAGAATCCATAGGAATAATCATTAAAAACTACATTAATTAAAGTAAATGAGCAACGCCAAATAATAATCCATTTGCTTTTATTCGCTTTCGACGTATTTCTTACAAATATTTTTTAATCTAATTTTTCTCGTACAATTAACAAAATAATATTTAGTAATATTTATATAATTTCCATAAATATTTCTCAAAACACTGTCAGTTCCCTCGCGATAAACAAAGTTAGATTTTACAATTCTTAAACAAAAAAATTTATATAACACTCTTCGTCGACATAATTGTGTTGCATTCGCTTTAGAATTGAACTAAGCGAGAAAGATTGTTCGCTCAAGCACTCGTGGAACAACAAGGAAAGTGCATGTTAGAAACAATGTATATCGGAGACCCTGCTTTCTATCTCGGACGCCGCGAAAGTTGCTCGAACAAGGGCAGCGAATCGCATTATGAACGCTACTCACGCTTGACCGCGAAAAAGAGAGAGAGAGAGAGAGAGAGAGAGAGAGAGAGAGAGAGAGAGAGAGAGAGAAAGAGAGATAGGTTTGTGAATTTACTCGTACGGAACAGTTCGCTGCACACACTCGCCACGATAATGTCCAAGTGGCCATATTGAAGTAGCTAGCTACTCTTCTCTCCATACGAGTTGATTATCGTCTAACGAGATTCGTATCGTCTATATGTGTCTATATGTGTTGCTGCGCATTCGGTAGTCTCTGATTTGTAGGATAGTGTATTAGAGTTAGTTTTGTAAATAAAAACAAAAGTTTTGTGGCTTTCTTTTCTCCTCTCTCTCTCTCTCTCTCTCTCTCTCTCTCACTTCCTCTATATATAAATAAATTGTCCGTTTTATATAAAACGAACGAAATTGAATTTGAATATAATATTTTTGAAAAAAATTTTAAATGAGAAAAAATAAAACCCGTTATTGTATTTTTACTTGTGTTATAATGTAGCAACAAACAGTTGTGTTATTAGTTGAAACAAGAGATAGAAGAACAGCGAATTTGGAAAACGACGCAGAAAGCTACGCGTCGCGCGACACGTTACGAAAGAGTTATCAAAGCCAATTATTAACATTTATTAATTGTTCAACGAACAACTCGAACGAAGTCGCAACTATCCAGCCATAACTTGCGAAAATTAATAATCGCGTTACAGTTATCGCAGAAGCGGCATAACAGGGGAACGACGTTAACTCGAGAGATTTAACGAGCTATTGAGAAGCCAAGCCGCTCTTCTCTTTGACAAGTTTTGTGCCGCGGAAGTTAAATGTCAAAGGGTCGCCAACAGCCATTTTCGCGACCATTGGTATTCACGCAGCGAAATCTTTTTTATGAATAATTTTCAGTCTTCTTAATCGGGCGGAGATGCTGACGAGAATTCTCAGCCGCGGGGCGGAAGAGAGGGAGGCAGATCGAACGAAAGAAGAGAAGGGAGCAATAATAAGCGAGTGAAACACGAAGAACAAAAATTTTCTGCCAGATGAGAAAGAGAG